ATCTGTAACTTGGCAACTACTCATTCCCTCACCACGGTATTTGGGTTTTTGTTTACTTGTTACCATGATAAGTATCTTTATGGCAACACTTAGTCTTTAACTGATTTCAGCTGAATTAAATCATCTATAACTTTACAGCTACGCGTCCCTATGGCAACAGTTTCTCCATAACTGATTACAGCTAAATTAAAAGTTTAATTAAATCATATAACTTGGTAACTACGTATTTGGGTGTTTGTTTAGTCGTTACCAGGTCAAGCCTGGGGGGGGGACATAATTTATGTCAGCACCTACTAATAAAATAACTTTTAGAGTTAACAAAGGGGGTTTTAAACAAAAAAAACTGTGTTTTGTCATATGCACTATCATACAGTGTTTCTACTTAAGTGGGAACTATATGGGAAACTTTTATTACTGATTTTGTGAACAAATTCTTATGTGATAAAAAGTTCTACATGGTCCAAAACTTAAAATGCAACCATCAGATATCAATTTTTTTTGGCCATATACGAGGTTTGTTAAAAAACAATAATTTTACTCAAGAGTAAAGTACTTTTATTTTTTAAAATATAGAAGAATGTTATAAAATAAAGTTATTTTGAATTAAAAATATGCAATTATAACCATTTGGCATTAAAATTCAGGTTTGCTGATTATTTATGTATTACTACAAATAATTTACAATGTAGGTAAAGCATAAATAATCAACTAATCTGAATTTTTATGCTAAATGACTGTAATTCTATATTTGGATATAACTTTTAAATCTAAATTACTTTACTTTATAACATTCTTCCGTATTTTAAAAAATAAGGTACTTTACTCTTGAGTAAAATTCATATTTTTTGGCAAACCTTGTATACGGCTTAAAAAAATTAAAATCTGATGATTGCATTTTAAGTTTTGGACCATGCAAAACTTCTTATCAATAATATTTTTTTCAGAAAACCAATATTAAAAAAGTTTTCCATATGGTTTCAACTTAAGTAGACACACTGTATAACTCGGAACGGACAGAGAATTGAGACAAGTCATAATAAAAACAAATGTTCTCCTTACCGATATCTTTCATTTGGCATATATCTTATTCCTATTGGGGGGTGGGGCAAATTTGCCCATTCTCCTTTACATGCAGTCTTATTTTTATATAAATATAACCTACATTTGCTGTCTCTTCACCAGTTTTATTTATTAGTTCTACAGCTGATTGTAAAGCGGAGCTTCATGTTTTGTTTAGGCATGAGTATTATTTGTTTTATTATAGGTAAAACAATATTAATAAAACTATTGTTAATCAAATAATTTGTTCAAATCCTTTTTAATTACATATAATTTTTTCAGATAAGTACATTTAAAGGAATTGGTGGAAATGAATCAATTCGTCACCTTATTCAACGTTTATAGAATAAAGTATTTAGGAACATCGTCGATGCACCCTGGTACTGCCGCAATATTGATCTTCATAGAGACCTTAAAGTGGAGACTGTTGAAAATACAATACAGAAATTTTTCAGAAGTCACCAACAATGACTGCTCCAACATGGAAACCTTGAGATTATTCAGCTCCTCAACAATGCCAAGTTAATAAGAAGACTCAAGAGAACCAAGCTATTTAAGTTAGTTCAGTGATGTTAGATTAAAACAGAGAATATTGCGGTTTGTTTTTCATCCCTAGATAAGTTAGGTTAGAATAAAATTTGAAAGTGGTAAAAACAATTTTGTTTAAAATGACGAGAAATCACAAAAAACAATTGACCTCTTTTTGCGTCCTATCAAAGTATTTTATCCTGCGACTCTAACCAATTTAAAATTTATAAAAAATAATAAAAGTAATTGTCAAACTAATACAGTAATAATCAAAATTTTGGGAATCAATTGATTTAAGGTAATAGGTAAATTTGAGGTTAAATTTTTATAACATTTGACATCAAGCACCCCACACTTTTCTACAATAAAATAATTTTTTTTTGTTAATCACAGGATTCTTAAATTAAATTTATTATTCCTTACTTTTTAGTTTGCTTTTCTACACTCACCGGCACGAAAAACGGAGCAGTTGAATTTTTTTAAACAAACTTAAAATTTTAATGCTTTCTGATGTTTTATTATTATAATATCTTAAACATAAACAAAACAACATGTTTTAAGTATTTTCTAACAACAATTGAACCTTTATTTGAAAAAAAAAAGGGTTTTGTAACAATTTAAAAAACGAAGACGAAAAAGCACAAATTGGTGTTGTTGCTAAATGACCTTAAATTAATCAAAACTGAAACGACTTGCTAGCAAAAACTGGGGAGCCGCATTTTTAATAACGTGTGTTGCCTCCACGTGCTCGAATAATAGCCTGCATCCTCCTTGGCATGCCTAAAATTAGGTGGCGAATGTCCTCTTGAGGAATATGTTCCCATTCCTCTAAAAGAGCTTGTTGCAACTGATTTAAAGTTAAAGGAGCAGGAACACGACTTCGCATCCTTCGCCCAAGCATGTCCCAAACATGTTCAATTGGGTTCGCATCCGGGCTTAACGCTGCCACTCCATAACAGGAATGTTTACATCGTTTAAGTACTGTTGAGTGATTCTCGCGATGTGAGGTCTGGCATTATCATGCATTAGAAGAAAGTAATTTCCAATAAAGTCGACATAAGGGACAACAAAATCTTGGAGAATTTCATCAATGTACCTGGCAGCAGTTAAGGAGCCTCTCGGAAGGATGTACAATTCTGTGTGTGCCTCTATAGAAATTCCGGCCCACACCATAACTGAGCCTCCTTGGTAGCCTACCCTAGGACTGAAGGTACATTCTGCGAAACGCTCTTGTGGTCTTCGCCATACTCTCTCACGACCATCTGGAGACCGCAGGCTAAATCTGGACTCATCCGTAAACAAAACGCGCCCCCATTCATTTTCACCCCAGTGCTCATGATTTCTGGCAAACTGAAATCGCGCAATACGATTACGCCTAAGAAGCTTTGGGCCTGTTGCAGGTCTACGACTGGTAAGATTGGCTTCTCAGAGTCTTCGTCTAACTGTCCGTTCGCTTATGTTGGTTTGCCGGACGTGATGTAGTCGATTTCTGATTTCAACAACCGTAGCATGACGATTTCGCAGACTTTGTAAGATGATAAAGCGATCATCATGAGCGCTAGTTCTTCATTGGGGACCAGTTCCAAGTCGTCTGGTGTAAGCTCCAGTTTCCAAAAAACGTGTAAAAATACGGTGCACAGTGCTATTGGATATGTGATACTGTTGGGCAACATATCGCTCACTTCTTCCGTCTTGAAGCAACGCAACAATAGCAGCCGCTATTTCGGGATTAACAGCCATAATTTTGTAGGTGAAATAAACGCAGCACAACTTTAAAACGTGTTTCGATCTGTCAAATTTCTCAAAACAATGAAAACAACAGCATTGTTGGTCATGGTTTCATAGCTAACTATGCACTTTGAAGTGATAAGTCCGTTAAATTTTTGATTTTTATTCAAAAACGCTTTTTTTCTTCAAATAAAGGTTCAATTGTTGTTAGAAAATGCTTAAAACACGTTGTTCTGTTTATGTTTAAGATATTATAATAATAAAACATCACAAAGAATTAAAATTTTAAGTTTGTTTAAAAAAATTCAACTGCTCCGTTTTTCGTGTCGGCGAGTGTATTAATACGTGTTTCTTAGTTTTTTGAAACTATTATTTATTTTCTTCTTTTTAGTTCGGTTATCTAAAAAAAGCGTGTTTTTTAGTTTTTTAAACTATTATAATTATTTTTTATATCTATTTCTTAAAATAATGTGATCAAAGAAAAAATCTTGTGTGCATTTTGAGCGAAAAGTTCGTTGCCGCTTTCGACAGATTGCCGCGCTCCACTACGCGTCGCGCTGCCAACTTTCTGTCTCAAGCGGCAAAGCATCACTTTTTGCTCTTAATACACAAATAGCTATTAGTGTGATTTTGAATACTATATTGTAGGCGATCTTTAAATTTAAGGAATACTCGCCCTGTACATGACGTTGATTGCCGATAGCAATAGGAGTTGTGTAATGTCCAAGTACTGATAAAACGGCTGAATCACCGAATGATTCTTTTTGGGGTTTTTGTTAAAAAGGGATTTGTGTTTAGTCAGTTAATTATAAATCGTTGTTTCGAACAGACCTGCGTTTTATTTTAGTGTATTTATTCCAGTGAATTATTTATTCTAAATAATTACAGTCGTTTACAATATTATTACCCAGAAGTTCGTTTTGTACATCTCTTTCATAATCATTTTGTTATAAAATGTAGGGAGCATTTATATTGTAGCAGTCGTTGAGTTAAATTTATCTTCTCGTTTACAAAGTGTTCAAAACCGACAAGCATTTTTCAACCAATCACAGTGGCACATAGAGACTCTTGACACAACGAGACGATACATTTTTGCACATAGAGAGAACAATTAGAGCCTCCAAACAAGCAACAACTAAATCAATATCCGCACGAACGGTCGAATTTTTAACATTAAACTAACATGTTTTAAACCAGCATGTACACATTCAATTTCTTGTAAAAGTACCACTCAAATGTAATGTGGTTATAAAATACAAAGTTTATTAAAAACAAGTTTGACAGAAGCAATCATTTTAATTTCTACATTCAACTACAATTTAGCTGTAAATCTATCAACGAGATTTCTACAAGATTTGTCAGAACTTTAGTCCACCCTGTAAACAGGAAGGAACCCTTGAACAGGTAGCGAAAATTTTGCGAGGTTCTGATTTCCCTCAATAACCTCTCTAAATTCTAGTTTGACTTAACTAAATATTCATATATTATGTATATAAAGATATTTTTTCGACTAATCCCATTACCATTGTGTATTTTTAATCTACTTAAAAAAATAGATTAAGAAGTTTGTTTTTTCTCCATAATTTTATTACCTGCAACATTTCACCAATTAGATATGTACAATAGTGACACATTGTTATATTGTTAAATATTGCAGATAAGAAAAAAATTATTCTGATAACATATTTTTATTAATGGTATGCGTGAAAGTAATTTAGTGTGCATTAAATCATAGAATTAGGCAGTATGAATTAATTATTTTAATATAGTACTGTGTGTGATGTGAGTTAATAATCAGAATGGAAAAGATACTGTGTTGGACATTTATTCTCATTGCTGGTCTTTGTTTGTTTGGTAAATTTTATTATATAAGAATGGAAGTTTTCTTAACTAGATATAATACATATATTGTTATACCTACTGAATTAAATTAATTTATATTGCTTAAATTCCTTTCATTGAATACAGAATGTATCTTTTTTTTTGTTTTAATGGGCAAATTTTAAGATATTTTTTCAGAGCGCTTCTTCAATATGTAAACCAAATATTTCTGGTAGATAATTATAATAACGGCATTATTTCCATATTATATTTTGCTATTGCTTGGTTTTATAGAATGTTAGTAAGATAACTGCAAATTTTCAGAATCTACAAACCATAAACCATAAAAAATTGTATCTTCGATTTAACAAAAATTGAAGATAAATTTACATGTTAAATATTTTTAGTTTCAGCCAATGAAGAAGTGATAATTAATGAATTATTTGAAACTAAGCTAGCAAAAGAAGTTAATGTCCCATTCCAGGTAAGTTCAATCATTATAAATAATTGTTAGTATTTTGATTTTATTGTCTTCCAAATCATGTTCTTAGTAGCAAACAACGAGCTTATTTTGAAACATTTTAGTTAACTTTGTAACTATGGTTATTAAAAGAAAATATTTTCCAAATAAATTAGATCGGTAATACAGGGTGCTCCAAAAAGTTTGGTCATAAATTATACCACATATTCTGAGGTCACAATTTTATCGATTGAATTTTTTTAAATTTGACATTTAAAAAGATGGCTGTATCTTCCAAATTTAGATTTTCACAAACAAATACTAGAAGAGAAAATAGTTATGGAATAGATGTGTGATTCCAGTGGCGTTCTGTTTTTAGCTGAATATTGCTCTAAAAAAAGTTAGGGGGTCAACGAGATATTGACCTCCTCTGAAAACCCATAAAAAATAAATGGGATTTTCATAAATAATTAATATTTTAGAGCAACAATATTTTATTTAAATATGATTTTGTAAAAGTTATGTATTTCAATTATTTACTGAACTAATAAATATCTTAAATCTTCATTGACACAGGTAGTTCGCACTGAGTATATTTGTATCCTTGTTAATTGATAAGTAAAAGAAGAAAGTTATAATACACTCAGCGCAAACTGCCTGCACCAGTGCAACACCTTATTTAACCAATGTTTTTATTCCAAGAAATATTTAGCATCTTCAATTCCTTGGAAGTGTGGTAGTGGCGTAACTGACAGGTGTGTTTTGTACTTATAGCAGGTATTAGCCTCGTGGTGGAACGGATCGACCCACAAAGCACGCATCCTCTAGATTAGTGGTTCTCAAACTTTTTTGGTGACGGAACCTTTTTGAAAAGGGAAATATTTGACGAAACCCTAAACACATTTCGGAAAAAAAGCCCTCCTGGCTCTAGCCTCTTGTCAGGTCCCACCCGTTTCTTTGCGAAGCCCTTATAAAACGACCAAAACCATATACTCCGAGCTCTTCCTAACCCAAAATACCAAACCTCGTATGCTCCTTCTAAAAAAAACAGTAAGTCCTCAAGCCAAGTCCCGTTCTGTTGTAGCGATAGGTACTGCTTATTTTCTTCGCGGAGCCCCCACAAAGGCTATGCGGAGCCCAAGGGCTCCGCGGACCACACTTTGAGTAATGCCGCCAATGTTAGACTTTTAAACCAAATTAGCGCTACCTTGTGTTTGGAGCAGGAACTAAAATGACAATTGACAGATGGCGGTAAATTCAAATTCTTAGCAGTAGGTAGCAGTTCTAAATTAAATTTTAAATGATTTCCACATAAATTATTTTATAAAATAAAGTAAGGAACGAGTTATTTCGAAACTTTTATTTTACAAAATAATTTAGGTCGATATGCCCATTTTAAGGAATTTATTTGTTATAATTGGTCTAATTTGGAGAGTTGATTTTGCATATTATTATTAAATAAATATAAGATATATCAATAAATAATCAATAGAACATTCTTAAAATATGTTTAATAATAAATACTAGAACAAAATAAATACAAATAATAATACATATTTAACGAATAATTACTTGGATCAAATAGGTATACAATCTCAAATCTTTAAATATCAACTCATACAGCACATTTCGGAAATATTTCAACAATGTTACATTGAAATATTTGCAGTGTTGTATAAATATTATGAAACATCCCAGAAACTCATACAGCACATTTCGGAAATATTTCAACAATGTTACATTGAAATATTTGCAGTGTTGTATAAATATTATGAAACATCCCAGAAACATTTCTGAAATATGCCTGAAACGTAAAAATGTCCTCTAAATATAATATTTCACAGTAATATTTCTGAAATGAAAATTAGAAATCTTTTAGAAATATTAAATAGTAATATTTCAGAAACGTATTCTAGTTTTTTTCTAATATATTATTAGACTAAAAAATATACATATTTATTTAAAATACAAAAAACTCAAACATTGATTCTTAAACAAACAAATAAATGTTTTAAAAAATATTTTATGAAATATAGAAGTGAATTGCTTCATTTCCACCAATTCCTTTAAATGCACTAATTTGAAACAGCTAGTTTTTTTTTTAATAAATGCTCCAAGTAAAGAAACATTTACGATAATTATAATCTAATCATTAAGATCAATTAGCAATTTTATTTTTACCTCTTATCTAGGGATGAAAAACTTCATAAACTAAGATTCTACTCACTTTATAGTGTACTTTAGTGTCTAATTATTTAGTTACACTACCGTTAACTATACACCGCAACCAAATTTTATCAAATTTATTTTGTAAAATACCATGTACAAATTATACATTTTTGAAAAGTAGAAGAGTGTATCTTTCAGATGACCTAAACATATACAGGCAAAACTTGTAGCAAAATAACACATGTCAGCCACAACCGCACGTTTCTACGATTAGATATTTAAAAGTTATAAGCTCTGGAAATGGGCTACTTTTCATTGGGACACCCTGTATAGTTGTTACGGGCAGTATTGTAAATTGGGCATTGATAATATTGACCGGACACTAACGTCAGCAGCCATATTTGCTGGCCAATATCGTTATTATCTGGGCAGTAACGAAAATGCCCATTAATTGTGGACAATGTTGATAATATTTTTTGTTTGCATCTTTGCCCGGTTATTAACGACATCGACCATCAATAAGTGGACATTGTTGAAAATATATTATTTTTTGTTCTTTGTCCGGCCATTAATGACATTGACTATCAATAAGTGGGTGAAGTTGATTTTAAAGAATTAAGTTGGTACTGTGACTTAAAATTTTTGACAGTGATTAGCAGTACATCAGATGTATGCGCTTTTTTTTGTACATTGGTCTCCTTTTGACAGAGTAGGTGAGCTGTGTCCAGGCCGTTGGTGTTATGCCGGTCGGGGTAGCCAGGTATGGATTGAAATTTTCTCCGCCACCCTACAAGAAGTCGTTGCTTCGTCTTCTTGTTGTCATGGCATTATTATTATTATTATTATTATTATTATTATTATTATTATTATTATTATTATTATTATTATTATTATTATTATTATTATTATTATTATTATTATTATTATTATTATTATTATTATTATTATTATTATTATTATTATTATTATTATTATTATTATTATTATTATTATTATTATTATTATTATTATTATTATTATTATTATTATTATTATTATTATTATTATTATTATTATTATTATTATTATTATTATTATTATTATTATTATTATTATTATTATTATTATTATTATTATTATTATTATTATTATTATTATTATTATTATTATTATTATTATTATTATTATTATTATTATTATTATTATTATTATTATTATTATTATTATTATTATTATTATTATTATTATTATTATTATTATTATTATTATTATTATTATTATTATTATTATTATTATTTGTTCATGTATGTGAAATTTGCTTCTAAGGTTTATAAAATACTACAGATAAATACTACAGAAAAATACTTAAGTGTTCCACTCCATCATCTGAAATAAAGTTAGGTTAGAATTATGATGTACAAATAATGGGGGATACATCCGATGTACAAATATTTCGTGTAAATCCGATGTACTGCTAGTCACTGCGTAAATTTTTAATTTCAACTTTGGAAATATCCAATCAATCGCCCGCGCAAAAGTCCAGAAAATAGCGATGTAAACAAAACATAACCCTGTATTTTATTCAAATCCAAATCGTAACGATAACGCCCAGGCAGAGTCGTAAAAAATCTATGCCATTTATAGTTTATCAACATTATCCAATTTAAGCGGATGTTTACGTTATTGGCCGGTTATTATCAATTATGCCCAATCAAATAGGAGATCTAGGATAATGACCGGCCAATATCGTTAAAGACCGAAATATCATCTTTGACCGTAACATCACAGCTTATACAATACAGCTAAAACACTCTCTTGGCGGCAACGGTTTGCGTCGATTTCGTCGCGCATCGCTTAAGCTCCGCCTTCGGAGGGAAAAGACGGTTTTGGCGTTCAGAAGCGTACTTAGGTAAGGTGTTGAGTCGTGCGTATAATTTCGTTGATTGTATAATTTCGTGGAGCCTATAATTTCGTTGATTTTGTTTGAGTTAAAGGTACTGTTATTATTTTGGTGACTCTTTAGCTGTTAGTAGAATGAGTGAAAAAAAAAGACATAATTCTGTTTGTGCAGTCAAAAGCTGTTTTAATAAGGGTTATACCTGCAAGAAAACATTCTTTAGTTTTTCCAAGGACCCAAACCGATAAGTACCACATTATAAGAAATTTTCATTGTTAAAAATATAATTTATACAGGGTGTCCCATTAATGCGTTATTGTTCAATATTTTGTTGTAGACACGCAAAAAAATTTTAAATAAAAGTTATATGGATTTGAAAAATACCTACATATTTTAAAAATATCTTTGGATATACAGGGTGTCACGTTTTTGCCTGGCAAATTAAAATGTATGTTTTTTAAATGGAACACCTTGTATTTTATTTTATGATGAAATTATTAACACTCTAAATTATTGTAAAGACGAGTTGCTACAGAAAAATTTTATCAGGTATGTATGTGGTTACCTTTTAATAAAAGCCTTGCGGATGCACTCCTGTGATACCTGTCCTAAATATAACAAAGATCACGTTGAATTAGATGATTTTTCTGTTTATTGCTTTTTAAAGGCATATGATAACGCCAATTCATATACATTTGGAAATCTGCAACTGTGAAATGATGAATTTGTAGAACTAATATTCAATATTGAAAAGATATTTCCTAATAATTTTGAAGAATTGGCTACAAAAAATAACATTTGTACCACACTTTTAGAATTAATTAACCCAATACCCTTTAGTCATCCATGCTAACGTTTTCCAAAAGAATAACCCATTTTAATGTATGTTTAATCTCAATAACTAAAAAATATACTGACAATTAGTTTGACAGAATTGTCATTTATTTAAAATTTTAAAAATAATAGCAGTCGGTCGATCAAAATATGAACGGCGATTGGCGAATTTATTTTTGCAGTGTTCTCACTACCTAGAATGGATATGAAATATATTCGTTCAATTGAAGGCAATAGCATACTTTTTCGTTTTGTAATCTGTGCATGGATATTAGCCAATCTACGCACATACTACAAAACGAAAAAGTATGCTATTGCGTTCAACTACGAATATATTTCATATCCATTTTAGGTAGTGAGAACAATTTAACAAAATTAAATCTACAAATCACAGTTCATATTTTGGTCACCCAACTCCTATTATTTAAATTTTTTTAAATAAGTGACAATTCTGTTAAACTAATTGTCAATATATATTTTAGTTATTGATATTAAATATACATTAAAATTTTTGTGTAGACTCGATAAATAATAGCATTTTTGTTTTTATTGTCCAACATTTAAAAAAAAATAAATTTTAATCAAACTACATGATACTATTTTAATTACGAGTATTAAAACAAAAGTCCTGAAAGTTTCGGTGAAGATGAGGACAGAGCATCTGCCTTCCACGCGAAAAGCCCGGGATCGAATCTAGGCCGAGGACTAATTAATTTTTCATGTTTATTTTATTTTATAAATTAGTCAACTTCGTAAATTATTTTAATATTAGTTATTTTGTCTAAATAACCTAAAATAATTTTTTAAATTTGTAGATTTTCGTTAATGGGTCGTAGAAAAAATATACTGACCATATCGAGTGGATTGTTCATATCACAATCAGACGAATGAGTACTCCACCTACGACGTCGTGCTCAAACTTCGTCTTTGTGTGATATGGCTATCATATCCCACCCTTGTTGAACAAACTACTATTTATTTGTTTTCTTGGTTTAAGTTTTACATCAGAAATAGGAACTAAATTAATTTACTTTTCAAGTTTTCTTGTAAAAATCGATATTACTTTCTCCAAGTACAAATTTAGTACCTACCTAAAATAAGTACCTACAAATTATGTAATTTCGTATAATATTGTAATTCAAATTTCACATTATTATAAAGTTACAAAATTCCCTACTTCGGTATGGTCAGATAAAAATTGAATATATAATATTAATAAAAACTGTCAAAGTATTACTTCTACATATCTGTATTTCAATTAATAAGAATACATCTAAATATAACCAATATTGTTAAAATAAAAGCACAAATTCTTTATAATTCCAAAATACCATAGAGTTCCCAGACCCTAGTTGAAGCTTCGTTTATCTAGGTATAAACCCTTTGCGCGAAGAGTAACACTTGCCAGACACACGGGGTACCACTTTATTTGCATCCACGAGCGTGACAAAATTCTTTAACAATTGAAGCCCTTGGTGTAAAAAGGATCCAAGACACAATTTGTCGTGAAGTGACTGTTTTAGGTCAAAACATTTGTTAACGAGGATTTTACTAGCCACATACAAATTATTTTACCTCTAATCCGAAAGATGTGCTATTTTTCGTAATATTTATATTTAAATAATTTTTTTAATATTATTTGACAGATTTAAAACAAATTAAAAATTTAATTTCCCAAAACTTACTTAATATGGCATGTAACCAACCTTATTATGCCAATGTTTTCAATTTTTTCAATAATAAAAAAATTGTTTAATCCGGGCCCGACTTTTCCCTCGAATCTAACAGAGATAGCACCATTCCGTCTTGCTTGGTTCTCGACCGCCAGATCAAAGACGCCGACACGGAGTTGTGGAGCTGTATTGTATAAGCTGTGGTAACATAGTAATTGAAATACTTTTATTTTAGGTATCTCTTTATACAAATTACAACGATGAATTTCTATGTGGCGGAACTATCGTTTCTTCTAACAAAGTACTTACTGTAGCACATTGTTTGTACTATGGTTGGGGCGGTATAATGCCTCCCATCATATTAACGGTAAAAGCGGGTAGAACTAATCTATTTTCAGCGACTTCTCGAAATTATGACGTTACTAAGGTAACGTTTCATAAAAATTTCGATTCATCGAGCATGGACTATAATTTAGCTATGATACAGGTTAGTGATAAAATTTATAACTAATAAATACAAAACGCATCTTTTAAAGAAAATATAATTTTTTATAATTACAGGGTGTATAGAAGTCATTAAAATAAACAAATTTAAAAAAAACTCATAAATTAAAACTTACTATAACATTGTTTTTTAATATATCCTACTGACTGCGCCATGATGTGTTTGAATATTTATTAAAACACTGAAATTAATTATTAATTAATTTATTACTTCATATATGCCATGTGAAGTTGTAACATGAAGTGTCACCTTTAGTGGCAGGGAGCTGTCATCTTGGGCAATCTTTAGTGTTGCTAATATAACTATGACACTATAATTAATTCCAAAATGTATCCAATACAGTTCTGATTACTGTATAACTTTCGTCGACAGATGTTGATTACATTCATGCGTTGTAAGAACCATTCACAAAAATGCCGTGGAAATGTTCAAGTTCAACGTGAAAGAGTTACATTGATACTTTCCTTTGAGTTATCCCACCTGATATGCAAGCACCCGCACACTTATGAAACTACAAGTCCCCGACAACATTATTATTTAAAATGTGTTCTTTTAAACGCCGTTATTTGTCTATTTACTCGTAAGTGACTGAATAAATAAAACAACATTACTGACTACTAACGAAATAAAAATATTCGTGATTCATATTCGAAAAACTAAAAAGACACATAAATGTAGACACTTATTACTTAGTTTAATTTTTCGTATATTAATTCAGAACCGGTTTAAGAATTATTAATCCTTTAACTTTGTTACTTTTGAGTTTTTTCAAAAAAGGTATTTAAAAAATATGTTTATTTTATCGCTTTCTATAAATAGTTAAAAAATTATTAACTTAGGATTCACCCTGTATATTGCTGTAACTGATTATTATGAATTGTTTTTGTTTTAACTTTTTTCTGCTTTTCCATCCACTTCTATCCAATAAATTATCTGTTTGTGTTTTAGGTATCCACGAATTTTATAACTGATGATGCAGATGTACGAGAAATATCTTTAGCGAAAGACTCTGCTGTCTCCAGTAATTGTATGGTTGCAGGATGGAATCAGGTAAGAACAAATTTTAAATTTTGCGGTAGATCTATACTCATGCGCCATCATTATAAAACGCATAAAATAGAAAATTTATTAAAATACAAGAGCTCTTTCACATGAAGATACTGTATGCGAGATACGCCTATTCGAGATTCAGGCTGACCATACATTCAAATAGACCTATTCACGCGGTACGGGCGACGCACACAGTATCGCGATATGGAATTTCTGTATCCCGGCACCTTCAGCCGCGGACGCTGAATGCGTATGCGGCATACAGAATTACTATTACGATATATGGACCTTCTCAGACATGGATACTTTTGCAACGGAGATTATATCATAGGCGCAGGATTTTCCAATGGTAGGTAGGTATCCTGAGTGCATTTAGTTTGATAGTTTAATTTATTTGAGAAAGGATTAAATTAGATGCACGAAGAGTTTTTTTTTTAATTATTTCACGAATAAAAAATTAGCCTAAACTACAGAATTTTTATATTCTTTACCGTCTTTTCTACGCATGTTGTATGCCCAGTCTTTTAATATTAAAGTGATGTACTCTACAGATGCATTTGCGTCAAGCTCGTACATTTTTCTTGGTAAAGCAACATGAATTGGTTCCAAATTGATTTATGAGTTTTGACTGTATTAATTGGAATATTATTTCATTATTTACCCTATCTATTAAAAATATAACAGGGATTACTTTTTCTTAATATACAGTGTTACACATAAAGTGCGCATCGTATGAGATTTTTCTTTCTAAATGTTTTAGATACATTTTGAATTTGCCATTTTTTGTTGCTTCAACAATGACAACCAATAACATGCAAATGGAAAATCACGTGACTTTTGTAAATGTCAAAATTGATTATTTTGTAAAAAACGCAAAATATATATGCCTAAAAGTTACTTATTTTTACGCATATACCAATTTTCAACTTTTTTTTTTATTTTTTCTACCAATTCATTTTAAGGTTACTAGAATTTACGCTAACCTGCATAAATTAATCTGTTTACACGATTCGCTTCTTTTAAATGTTTTTTTGTTAAAAAATATTTTATACAACTTGCCTAAATTCCAGTAACCCAAAACTGAAATGGTAGAAAATAAAAACTTGACACGGGCTATATGGGTAAAAAAATTAAAAAAATAAGCAACTTTTTGTTGAGCAACTTTTCGAAATTGCCATTTTTGCAATTTTTAGGAAAAAATGTCATATTAGACATTCAATAAGGTCATGTGTTTGTCCATTTGTATGTCATTCGTTATCATTTTTAAGGCAATAGAAGAATGCAAAGTCAAAATTCATCTACAGTAATTACAAAAAAGCCTATACGATGTGCATTTTATGTGGGTCACTGTAATATATACCTCAGTATATTGCACTCTTCTAGATCCATAATTCAAACCTATGCACGCCACTGTGACTATTTTAGTACTGATTGAAAAAATGCATGAATTTGATACAGCAGCCCGTTTTCGACTGCGATTCTGTATCTCGGATACGCGTATCTGGCATACAGTATCTTCGTGTGAAAGAGGGCTTAGTGTACTTGATTTATTGAAATGACTACTTTAAAAAATATGAAAATTTACTATAGCTACAAATAGTTATCAAGAACAATATTTAAATATAATTAACATTAGGTACTTTATGTATTTAACACATTAATTCTTAACCAAAAAACACATATTTTATTTTTTCTAACAGAACCACTTAATTTTTCAAATGCGTAGTTACAGCTTGTTCAGATATCAACGTCAATCTATGCAAACTTTCAACTTCATCATTTGATGCATCCCTAATACTAACAGCATTTAAAATATTAGGACCAATCATTTTTCCTACACATCTAATCATTTTTCCTAAATGAAAATCTTCAATAGCGAGATGTGTAAGCATGTAATAAATAACTTGCAGTATAGGTCCAGTTCTGTCGCGTAACAGCATGATTTTTTGGGTACGTACATTACCTTCCTGGAGAGAAACAACTGCAGCGATAACTTCAAAATAGCAAAATTGCTTGGATAAAAGTTTGTTCCAGTGTATGACTCTTTCGACTGTCCCTGTAAGTATGAAGAGTTTCTCACCGGGACGAGACCCAAATGGCATAAAATCTCTATTGTTAGTGTCGGTTTTCGAAGTCGAAGGCTTGTCCACATTTTGAATATTTTGAGGTATTTGATTGGCATTCGGTGTACTTCTAATACTATGACTACCACTGGCACCGTTTTGAGCTGTTGAAGATTCAACAGGATTAAGTCCTGTCCCATCGTTTAATACCATGTGGTGTATAACGTTAATTTTTGATTTATTAAACATATTTCTTACTCTATGTTGAAATTCCAGTATATTTTAGACTAAACGAATATCTTGGAAATACAGTGTGCGAGATCAATTACTATTAAATCGAATAAAAATGTTTTAGAATAACTAAATTTTAACTATTATGATAAATGATGGTTTTAACTTCAACAATGAAAAGAACTGTCAGATAATCAGAAACATCTGATTGTCACTGACATATCAGACTTGGCTTACATATATTGGAAATATTTTTTAATTTATTTTTATACCTACAGGGCGTTACGCAAATAACTGTCAGAACAGTTGATACTAGTATTTTACTAGTGGTTCTCCCGAAAAACGAAATAGTAGAGGAGACCGGAGTTGTGTATCATGATGGGTAGGTTGGCATCAGTACTCTCAAATCCATACGATTAATTTTTAAATATTTTGCGGTAAAGTACTAACATTGATCTATATTTTAACTTGTAATTTTTTTAATAATGCCTCATAAATAGGTACACAATAGGTTTGATTAGTGACTGATGTTATTATTTGCAATAGATATTTCTACATTACCAAATTCAAATTTTACTTGTTTATTTGACATTTACCACCAGTTAAGCGTGTATGTCTATGTTGTGTTGCCTATCTACCTGCATCTAGAAAACGTGATAATCTATTATTAATATTTCAGTTAACGTTTAAATATTAATGAAAATGGCTTTGATAATTAGATGTTTAATTAAAATATTCAGATTAGTCTACAGTTTGTTATAAAATACCGATTAGCTTGGTTTTATTTATTGCAAGCGACAACAATGTCAAATTATGACAAATCGCGGAAATTTTAAGTCTACTTTGAATAGTGGTGGTAGAAACATTTTTTTATAGAAATACTCCTGCGGTAATATAAATAAAAAACCTACCCCAAAGGCCATGATAATCTGTCCTAATGTCAAGGTAGGTTGAGCTTGAGAAAGGTTCTATAACTTTTAAAAGAGTTTCATCTACTTAAATGCAAGACTGTCTGTCGTGGCATGTCAAGCTAGAAAAAACACTCATAAACCGACTTCATGTAATTATTCCCATTACTAGAATAAACTTTTGAAATAATTTGCCTTTTTCCGAAAATCCTGTACAAGAAGACGAGTAAATTAATAAAAATCTCAGTTGACATAATATTGCTGTGAATTTATTAGGCATAAGTGTTTTTGTTTTGAGTTACAATTAGAAATGTTTACACTATTTATAGTCTCATGGAAAGTGCCCTATATCACACGCGTGTGGATAAATCTAATTTTCACCCGTGTGTGAATTTTATTCTACTTTCCGCATGAGCAGTCAAATATGTCACACTTCTAATTTCTATTTTAATTGTAATGTTCATTTTAATAGTAAAATCGATTTGATAAAAATTGTTAACATTCATTTTTAAAAATAGATCTTAGATATGTTTTTTTAACAAATTATTAAAATAATTTTAAAGTAACTACCTACATTATTTAAACACCATCTGTAATACACTAAAAATTATTCAATAATACATATAACAAAACTAAAATCTAAAACCAAGTACATCTTGATGGCCAGATTTCCTAATTTTACATTTTTTTTTTATAAAATTATTTTGTGGTCGTAGGAAAAATATTGTATATCACTTCTGTGAAAGAGATTTTTCACACTCGTGTGATTGTCGCACTTGGCTTATGCCTCGTGCGACAATATTTCCCACTCGTGTGAAAAAAATACCTAGATGAAAAATTATAACACATCTAAATATATAACGCCTGTCCTGTAAACATGTCATGTTGGAAACTAATTTAAAGTGCGCAGACGCATGAGTACTCTTAACAACAAAAGTACAGCCCTTTCAAAATAGTTTATCATAATTTTCAGAAGCATGAGCGGTTAAAAAATACCACGCGTATTTAGTGATATCACTACGTTCACTGTATTACACCTAGGCATATGCTGTACCTATTAGGATCATGTAATTTGCAGGTCCTAAAAAAAATAGTCTAAAGGCATGTGACAAAATTATTTTTAATGTTCAAATGAACACAATCTTGAAAATAATGGAAATAAAATGATAATGAATAACATCTTTTTTTATAAGTTTACTATCACTTTCTTTGTCTTTGAAACACAAATTACGTCATCACTAATATAGGGATCGCATCATGATCTGGCTATTGACTTCTCAATCTGTGATTTAGTAGAGAAATCTACATATAAAATTCAAGATCCCAACTTAAATTTTACCACAATAAATAATTACATCCTAAATTTTCGGGAGATCACTCTATATAACATTTAAAGAGAATACACACGAGTAAATTTAACAAATATTATTTATACAACTTGTAAGTAAGCAATAGAGATGGGCGATATCGTGTTTTTCAAGTATCAGGGATGACATTTAAATAACAGTGATTTTAAGTAGTGATTTTAAGCAGTGATTTCGTGACAAAAGTAATAGTAAATGAGCAAAAGTACTAATATTCTATTGAATCTAACCATCTTTCTTCTTAGTCTATTTTGTCAAACCACCATAAATTACTAGTTCAAAACAAGTATTAGAAATTAAAAAATTTAAAAAACCGACTTCAAATACGTCCAGATGCCATCACCACATCTTAATCAAATTTATATGGGACCACCCCTGAGGTACCCCCTTACTAACAAAAAAGAATCATATAAATCGGACAAGGTGGTAAAGCA